CTAGCAAATTTAAAGGCAATGGATTCTGAATGGTTTGCCAAGAATTACCTTCTTCGTTCTTCAAAGGTTAGTGGTTAATTTTGTGTTCTGTAGGGTGGTAAGCTACAATAAATATATTCAAAAAGGTTTAATCTTTTTATTGGCATTTTCAAATCATCTAAAATATTTATTATAAAAACTGCTAAAGAAATCACTGAAATCTATACAAGAATTTCAGATACAAATTACTCCTCTCTAATCTTTTGTGTAAAGTCTAAATTAGATGCTTGTAGTGTGCAAATACTTACCTTACTCTCCTATAAAAATTACTTGAATTTTTCTAAGTTATAACTTCAAACATTGTAAAGCTGATTGAGATCATCTCAATGTGTTACTTTGTTTATCCTATCAATGAACTTATCCATTGCTTTATGAGAGAATTGCTGTTTGTCTGTTCTGCTGATTATTTGTTGCTTCATTTTCAGTGAAACCATTACATCCATAGTGTATTAACTACAGTTAACTTTGTTATTGTTAGTTAAATACAGTTTAACTTTTTCACTTGCAACATTCCTACTGTTATGATGATCATTTACCAGTAAAATAATGTTTCATTCTATTTGATATTGACTTCAACATCTTGTTTTTCATTTCACCTACTACACACCCCTCCTTCTGTATATTAGATCCACAAACATGAAGATTGAGTGGCTAGCTATGAGCTAGGTACAGTTATGAAATCACGAAATACATAACTTTAGGAAAGTAAACTAGAAACCCAGTGTACATTTAGTTATCACCTATATTATTTATGTGCAGCATAGAATACCTTTTCCAGAGGCTTAACCTGTGAAGTTGAATGTGATGATCTGGTAATTTTTTATTTGTCCAGATTATATGCATGAAAATAATGGACTCTTTTAGACCATCTCGTCAAAAGGTTAGATTAAGTCGTGATCGCCAATGTTATAATTATTAAAATATTACACTTTTGTTAAGTAACTCTGAATAAAATTGATAATGTGGTAACGAGACTTTTACAAATCAAAATTTACTGGAGCATTATAATAAAGTCCCAGTTGGAAGGCACATAAACCTGCATATTGTGCAAAACTTTAAAAAAAAACATTTAAATAATGTAGATTTGAGTATAAATCACTAACAATCAGACTTAACATGTAATATGTAACTGTTTCAATCAAATAAATGGCTTTAACCCAGTCAGTTACCTTGTTGAAGTGCACATTATCCAATGGGTACATTAAAAAGTTAACAAGAAGTGAGAAAAACTGATGATGACCAAAGAATATGCAATTCTTAAAACATTTTCATTACAGGTTGGGATGCCAACGATGGAAAAGTTCAATAGTTGGGGTGGTTCTCTCTCAATTGGGCATCCTTTTGGAGCTACAGGTGCCCGTCTAGTTACTATGGCAGCCAACAGACTGATTAAACAAGATGGACAGTTTGCTCTGATTGGTTCCTGTGCTGCTGGAGGCCTGGTTAGTGTTGTATTTAAAATTGAAAGTAGAAATTTTAGAAAGTTGAAACAGCAGGGTGATTTGAACTTAAATAATTAAATGGTCATACATATTGATTAGCTTGTAAAACAGCCTACTGATACTTGGTTTACAGACTTAATATCTTACTTTAGTGAACTGTTTAGTGTTTAAAAGAAATTTTTAATTGTGAATAATGATTTGCTTCAGTCAGTTTGAAATCTTCAATACTTTTGTATTGTTGCACTTGAAAGAAACTTATTACATTTTGTTCTAGAAAATGCTTCTCTGTTACACTGTACTGTTGTTGTGTCCACTTTGTACTGATAAACTTTTCTAAGACATGAGAAAAGGAGTTATAATTTTAAGATATCAATAAAAATTTATTATGTTTTAAACCTCAAATTACTCACTTGTTACAACATTCAATTGATGAAACAAAAACTAGTTGAAGTTTTATGTTAAATATGTAGAGACCCCCAGCAGCAAATAGTGAGATGGTATTTTTGTTTGACTGGTATTAGTGATCCTGTAACCAAGAAAGTCAATGGACCCCAAAGGAATTTGGCACATAAATAGTTTAGAAAATTGCATCTAAAACAATTTCAAAGGATAGTTGTAGTGTTAATCACGAGTCTGTGGTATCAATAAATGAAAAATCCTCTGAGCATGTGCTTGAGGTCTAGAAAACAAAGTAAACAGTGCACCAGTTCCTAATGTACATCTTTGCATAGTCTCTTACTGAACATGAAATGTATCTCATGCTTTTTGATCAAATTGAGCTTAAGTCAAAAACTTTCCAATGTTTCTGGAAAGAAATGGCAAAAGCTATTATTATTTTTAGGTCTACAACCATTAATTTAACAATATCTAACAATTACACTGTCAGCCTTTGGTTAGCAGTGGTTAGACAGGATAGGGGACACATGATACCACTTGAAACTTTTTATAAGTTTGTTTTCTAAACAACTGAACTTGCATGGAACTGAATATTGCCATCATTATTTATTGCAAATCATATTAGGTGACATATAATTCCTTGATTTTCTACTGATATTTGTTGTTAGGTTATAAAATATATTTATCATTACTATGTGTAGTACATATATTGTGTTGAATTAGCTCTTCTTCAGAATTCACAAACTTTGACTAGAAAACAGAACCAGAACATCTGGTTTTAAATGTATGAGAAACATTAAATTAATTTCAAAATATGCTCAATACATTCACTTCACCTATCTTTATTATGATGCATGACTATACAACTTACAGTACATTATAACCTAAGATTGAATTTTCGATATTTTCTTCCTTTATAGTAAAAAGCATTGTAGAACACAATATTTAACATTTCTTAAATTTTACAAGACAAATCTGCATATCAACAATCTTAGTTTTAAAAGAGCCATTGGTCCCCAAAAATATCCTTTTTTAGCCAATACTGAAATCAAGAACCAGTAGGCCTTACAAGTGGGAAAATTATTCTTCATTAATTATAAGCTATGCTTCCTTCCTAAAAATACCAATACTTATTTTTAAATCCAGAACAATCCTTCATGTCATTTATAACTCAAAAAATAGGTGTAATTCACTTTTTCCAAACTGTCCTCATACATAGCTTTTGAATGGATATCAACCCCTCTACCATTACTTTCATTGATAAGTATATGAATTATACATGTTATTAAACTTTTACATGACTGGATACCGTTCCACGATGCTGCTGTGTCCCTAGAAAAAGAGATGTTAAAATGTGAATGATGCACAAAATGAAGATTGAACAAAGTACACACATCAAAAACTTCGTTTTTAAACAGTACAGAACATAGATTTTTTAGTTTGACTTCTTTTCGTCATAAAATTATATTTTGAAAAAATAGATATAAAATAGTATTAATCTGGTAACACATACATTATTTGTCCTACTCACACTACCTTTCTGAAGTTGCAAAAAACTTTTTCATGAAAAATTTACAATGTTGATTTAAAAATTTGTTTAATTCTCAAGAAGGTATCACAAAATCGATGGTGCACAGCAATCTGTAATTTAGAGGGAAGGGAACTAATGAATAGACACTGCTAACTGCTGGGATTTGACTTGTCACTCTTATAGTGTATCTATAGCCTTAATGTTTTTGTGACAACTGGATCCAAACCCAGCCCCCTAAACCAGTAAGTAAAAAAAAGTGTAGAAGGGTTATACTGCCTGTCAAGCCTGAACTCACTGCTGACGACCCTGTGACCTTCAACTTTTATTTAGCATGTGGTGCTGCACACACTGGATTTAAACCACTGTGTTCAGTATGGCACCAAAAGGACATGATTGTCCTCCAGTTCATGCATAATGCATATATTTACTTTTTGTTTCTCTTCTCCTCATATCAACTAGGACCTGTGAATATATAGTTATAAGAGTAGAATTGTATTTATGGTACTATATGAAGATTATAAAAGGTATAAATACTTCTATATGTGCCACAATTTACTCTTATATAAAAAAAATACACTTCTCATTTCAAACTGACAGTTAAATCTTACTAAATAGGTATTCCTTCAGTGTTAAACTTATAAAAATCTCATAACTTCAGTTTATTTTTAAAATAAAAACCATTATATTAGGACTATTACTACAATATTTAGTCATGAGCCATTGTCCTCCTATTTAATTTGGTTAATGAGATATTGCAGTCATTTCTGTATTTAATTTTTCTCTTTAATAATTAGTAGTTATTTTAGATTTTTCATTGACACTAAGAAGTAATTGTTCCCTTCTCACCCACCCACCCCTATACTGAAATATTTCTGGCTGACACTGGTCCTTACAGGTGCATTAGTTGAAAATAATATTTTAAGAAATATATATCAGGCTTGGTTGATAAATGGGATTGAGTTATTTGGGGAATTTTAAAGACAAGTTTCTTTACAAGTTTGAGTTTTAACTCTAGTTGGTGTTCACAAAGATTTTTCATTTTTTTCCATCTCTAGAATATCTCTGAAACGTGAACTTTCTAACTTCTTAAAGTTGGATAAATCATGTTAATATAAACTTGTGATCACTTGTTTGCTTTATACATGATTTAAGCTGTGAAAACAATTTTCTAAAGTACTGTAAAATAACTTCATTGCGCCATTACTTTTAGTTTATTTTTTTAAATTACTAAAGTATGGTTAGTTGTTGTTTCACAGAAGTCCAATCGCTAAAGTTCCCTTGTTGTACTAATAATGTTCCAAAAGTAGCACCTCCATACTGTGAGAGGAAATAGCTGTTCTGCTGAGACATTAAATTTATGAATTATGCCTGTGTTATCTATACATCAATAGTTTCACAGTTCTAATAGCAAATTAGACTATCCATACATTTTGTTCAGCCTCATTTAAAGTAATAGTAATTTTGATTTTAAAGACTAACCTTAACTGATAATCAGCTTTGCAGTAGACTGCTGTGTTCAGTGTTTATGTAAACATTGTAAATATCTTGTTGTCATAACTTGCATATCAAACAAACACCAGTTGTACAGACAATGTTTTGTAGAATAATTTTTATTTTTGGTAAATTAGATGAACTGTAAGAATTAAGTCAGTAATAAACTGTACAATTATTTTAAATAGTTCATGGTGTTTTTCATTACAATACTAGTCAAGTAAGAACTGCAATTAAGTTTTTTAAGCAACTAAATTATATCAAAACAAATAGCTATTCACTTTTAACACTAAATTCAAGTACTCAGGCAAGAAGGAAATTGCTTATTTCACAAGCAATTTCAGTAATGGTTACAACTCTTTTGGTTGGATTATTTTGAAGAAATCTCAAACAAAGTATTTCAAAAATGTGTCCAATTTTAATAACTTGTTGAAAAAAAATGTTAAAAATGTAGTTACTACAAAACCAAAATTTGATAAGGATAATAAAAGTATTTTCATTATTTCTTTTACCATCTTTAATAAAAATAACTATTATTTAATACCAAACAATTTTAACTCATAAAATTTAGCTTTTACGTTTTCATGAAGTAAGCACTTTAAAGTTGATTGATATTTGCAGTAATGAAAATCTAGCTCCAATGTTTCACTTCTAAAATACTACCGAGTGTTTTTCAGTCACTCTCATCATTCCACTTAGTTTGAATGTCAATCCAGTCAGATGATTATATTAACAACAATGATGATGTAAGAGCTGCTGAGAACAAACATTTTTCCAATATACAGAACTTTACTATATTACAATATGTTTATTATAAAATGACCATAGTTTAGACGTAATCTTCAATTCTAAAAACTGTAAAGTTCCATTATAATATTATTTAAAAGAATTAAAAATAATCAGTGAAACACTTTTGTCTTTATAACCCAAAACATGATCACAACAAAATGGGGTTTTCTTGTTACTCTATATACATATAATTGGAGACAAGTGGAAGTTTTCTAATGAACAACAATCCTGTATTAAACAATGTTACAAGAAAATACCACTTCTTGGAAAAGGACGAGTCAGCTGGCTTTGGAAAAAAAGACTACAAAGCTGGCTTAGGTCTAATAGAAACCCTGCATTACTATCTGTCTCGTAGAATGGGGGAAAAAAGTATACAGCACACACTAGTTGACTGATCCTCAAGGTCGATGAAATCTAAATAGAAAGATAAACATTAGACAGAAAACTATTAAATTAAACATTGCTCATTCTAATAGCATTATTGTATATATTAAAATAAACGTTGACTTTGTAACGAATACTTGGTGACACATTAAAGAAGAAATAATACAAAGAAATGGAATCTTGGTTAGAGAATTTTGTATGAAATATACTGATGTTTCTTGAAAGTGATTTTCCAACCAAGCTAGTGACTATATACACTTCTACAGATACAGTTAAGGTATCAACTACACTCACTCAACTTGAATGAAGAATGTATTATGTTTAATCTATTCCTGGAGGAAATACCAATATACAGCCACATTTTATAACAACTGTCTATATATACCATTAGTCTAGCAGCCAAACTGTACAAAATGGTTTAGTTTTGGTGTAATAGAATGAGAATACTAAGTAAGCCTCTCAAAAATCTGTTAGCTTATAAAACGCTTCCTTAAGTTACTGAAAAATTATATTTAATGGCCAAAACTAATAATATAACAACTTTTTATTTTATTCAGTCAAAACAATTACCAAATGTGCAAGATATACATGTATAGCACTAAAGGGGGAAACAAGCAAGAAATTCGACTTTGTTGAACAAAATGCATCTAGTATGTGCATCGTCCCGAGAAAAAAAAAGACAAATGGGCTCTCCCATATGGTTATTCTAATGACTTTAATATTTTCCCACTTTTCTGAATGTTGCCCCTCTCAAGTTTCACTTTCAATATTATGACTATGTTATAAGCTCAGTTTTCTTTATAGCAGCCAATGAAGTTTGATTAATAGGAACAGCCATTTCAGTAATACTGACATCAATCTGTTAAATGCTTATGGCTTTAGTAATAGTATATATTTTGTAATCTGTATCCTCACAGGTTCTTCAGATCAGTAGCTTTATGTGTTTTAATGCACGAGATACATGTTAATGGTAAACTTTTTTTTATCTATTCATTAACACCATTCTAATCAGTTTTAGGAACAAGTGTAAAATTTCATGTTTTTCTGAAACTTGCTATCATAATGAAAAATATACTTTTAAGTTAATCTTTATTTTGCCCAAAATACACTCTTAACCATGGGTTCTGAACTTTTTTGCTGCTAGGAAGAAGTGCCAAGGCCAACCAGTGCTCCAACCTGCACAGAGCTGGGGAAAATTGCCTAGGCCAACCAGTGCTCCAACCTGCACAGAGCTGGGGAAAATTGCCTAGGCCAACCAGTGCTCCAACCTGCACAGAGCTAGGGAAAATTGCCTAGGCCAACCAGTGCTCCAACCTGCACAGAGCTAGGGAAAATTGCCAAGGCCAACCAGTGCTACAACATGCATAGTGCTAGGGAAGAATGTCAAGTCTCATTAGTGCCACAACAATAACAAAATTTGCAAACCTTGTACAGATAGCATTAATACAGGTCTTTACAAAAAAGACCGATCTGTCAAGACATGAATGTATTTTTGTCAGGCACACATGCATGTTGTGGTCAATGATCAACCAGAATTCTGAAGCCACAGTTTCACATATGTACCTTGATCTGAATGGGACTACCAATTTCTGTGTTGTAGAAGAAGCAATACTGTATTCACTGGATCACTCTCACCAAAGCTTCTAAGTGACATGGTTTTGAGGGAGCTGTCCAATGAAATGTCAATGAGTTCTTCTAATATCTTTGTTGGAACAGAAGAAAACGCAATTTATCTTTGATATTCCCAATAAAGGGTTTTTTTTAACATACAGATGTGTAACTGCATGCTATCTTACTTATCTATGCAAGAGCAGGAATGGCGTTTATTTATTTCAACAAGGTGGGCTACAACATGACATTATTACACTTGTGATTGTACTTTGACTTGTTTTCAGGTCAATGGTTAGGAGTACATTGTATAATACACAATTATGTTACATAGTGATTTTCCTTGCAAATTAAAACCCAATCTAGCCCATTCAGAAATGTTAAATGGTTATCAGGTATAGTTTCATTTATAAGCTAATAATTTCAAATATAGAAGATCATATTCTGACACTAGGCTGGAGAAAGTTAAAAGAAATGTTTACAGACATATATAAAATTGCATAAAGGATCCAATTCTTAAATATTTATATACTGTAACTGACCTCGTGAACTGGCGACTGGCTTCATGGACTTCCATTTCTAAGCTTTTAAATTCATTCAGTTCTTTCCTTATTGCAGCCTGACGGGAAAAACAAAGCATATTTATTTGTAATCTTTACTAAACTAAGAGTTGTTTTTTTAACCTGTGTTTATAATGAGTACCAATGTGAGTATACATCTTCATAATCTGTACAAATATTGAATGTAGTCTTCATAATCTATACCAAGATAAGTGTTGTCTTCATAATCTGTACAAAATTCAGAGTTGTCTTTGTAACCTGTACCAAACTTATTGTCTTTGTAATCTATACCAAACTGAGGGTTGTGTTCATAATCTGTACAGAACTTAGTGTTGTTTTTGTAATCGGTAGTATACATGACAAACTGAATATTGTCTTTAGAGCTTGTAACAAATTAATGCTGTCTACATAACCCATATCAAACAGTGTTGTACTGCACTATCCTGACAACATTACAAAATAATATCAGTGACATCTATCATTCAATACCCAACTACTTAAATGATGAGAGTGACAACTTAGTACACTTGAATGTGTCTAAATTCCACATTGTTTTCTTTTTATCTCTTAAGAAAATTTTTATATTTTACAGTGCACAACACACGCTATCTTTCAACAAAAATCAAAAATTCTCATTGATGAGATGGATACTGAACCCTTGTAGCAAAAAATTCAAATGAACATTTTGAGTACAGGATCTATTCAAAAAACCTTTTGTGCATAGGATGTGAAAAGAACATCAGGAAAAAACAGACTAGTCAGAATTAAATGACTGATAGAACAAGATAGTTGAAAAAAAATTGTTGATCACAGGATTTCACAGCATATCAGACACAAGTAGATCAGTCATGATTCAAATCTTTCATAAAAAATTAAACATCTTTATTCACTTTATAAACATAAACACGTATACAACATTAAAAAGTTTCTTGATATAATGTTGCTTTTTTATACCATGTAAGTTTATTGTAAGACAACTACTTGATAATCTAAGGCTACTTTATGCCACGTCAGTTTATTGTAAGACAATTACTTGATAATATAAGGCAGCTTCATTATACCATGTTAGTTTATTGTAAGACAATTACTTGATAATCTAAGGCAGCTTCATTATACCATGTCAGTTTATTGTAAGACAACTACTTGATAATCTAAGGCTACTTTATGCCATGTCAGTTTATTGTAAGACAATTACTTGATAATATAAGGCAGCTTCATTATACCATGTTAGTTTATTGTAAGACAACTACTTGATAATCTAAGGCTACTTGTTTATACCATGTCAGTTTATTGTAAGACAACTGCTGCCGTGTTTAATGAAAATTAAAATCCTCATATAACTACTGCTAATTTAAATGTGAAAATAACTTTTTCTTGAACCCTATCCTAGAACTTAGTAAAAGATGAAACAAAAATTACAAAGATGGGACACAAGATAAACTAATCACCCACTTTAAAAACAATAAGAACTTTGGGAGGAAACCTTTAAGAGAAGCATCAAAGAAGATGGAGATTCTTGCATAAATGACAAGCTTATGGTACTTCATAATGGACTACTGGAAAATTGGACTACCTTAAAGTTATGAGAACTGTATTGTGTTGACCCATATGTAAAGTCACAAAACTAACAGTAGCTTTGGCAGGCAGCTGACAGTTCAAAATCTTGTAGAAATACTTCTTGAGTGTTATGAAGATGCAATTAATAATACATCTTCACTCTCACATGCTAGTTCAGTTAAAAATTAATATATTATGAAGTAACTGGAAGAAATGTTTGGAAACTTTTTTTCATTCGACACTTATATGATGAGTTATTATTTTCTATGATGCTTTGACCACAATTCATAGCTTTGCCTTTCCTGCATACAACAAAGGTGTTATTAACAGATAAAACTTTGGAATTTGTTTTGACCACTACTGGTTTCTTAGAAGTTCTTAGCCTAGTTTTAGTAATAGAAATTTTACCAACTGTACTCAAGTTAATCACTAACTTTTTTGGACTTGACAACAACAATACTTAGTCTCTTAAACACATTCTACATGTTATCACAAAATAACAATTCAAGTTACGTTTAGATAGACTTTATAGCAAGACACACAAATGGAATATACTTGTAATGTTATGTTTTATCTACACAAGGCATAAAAAAGTAGAGTAAGCATAATCAGTTCAATCAAAGAGTAACAACAAGTACCACTTTTGACACCTACTCTGTAATAAGTATAATTATGTTACTGAAGAACAGAATGGAACAAGAAATAAAATGTTTCATAATAAACAAACACAAGTTAACTAGTTTTATACATTTCATAGTTTTGTTTAATGTTAATTTCACTGTTTTATATACAAGAGGATAATATTATGCAAAAACAATCCTAATGTACATATTGTTTTATCCTTAGCACATATTATTCATCATAACATTACATTTACGTCTCATTTTTCAAGAAACTACCAGTTTTATCCCTAGAAATGTGATGGTGACCACAGGTTAACACACATTCAATATTTACTCAGGAAATTTCTGCTTAAAGAACTAAACAGAGAGAGTAGTGTCCTAACCTTGTCTTTTGGGGTTAGTCTTGTCCAAGGCTTGTCTGCTTTACGGTCATAGTCTTGAGCCTGTGTTACCTCTATGTAATCATTGAAGCGAATAATTTTTCTTTCTTTTAATTCATCTATTGTTGGTCTGAAGCTCAACTAAAAAAATGTTTTTAATGAAAAAAACATGTAACAAATAATATAACATTACACTCAGATTATCTACAAACTTGTATAATACTGGCTAGAGAAAAAAAAATTCAATTACTCTCCTGATGATTAAAAAAAATATTTTATCTACATTTTAGCACTGTAGCTTCTTCAGAGCACGTACATAAAGTCTATGCTACAAAGTTTGAAAAACAACGAATCATTGTATAACAGCAGTTCTACTATACCTTGTGTTGTATGCTATAGCTAAATGGCTGGGTTACAATACTAAAATTCTTAGTTTAGACTGGTGTTATTAAAATTGTGATCAGTCTTAATGTGAAGTAATATAATTCTTACTACTTATGAATGGATAATACTTCATCACACACACATCTTTTCCTAACGTTAGAATTCTCTTGGAATAAACCTTCTAACTATTTGCTTTGTCAAAGTTTCTTTTTGTTACTAATTAACATTAAATTTTTAGAAACAAAAATTACGTGTAAATAAATAAAGGGCAATTTTATGTTTGAAAAATGGCAGTGTCCTTAGAGTAGACATAACCAATATCTGAAACTGGAAATATACTATAATTATTTGGACATGAGAGAAATCAAACAGTTCCATCTTGCAAACATGCAAAAAAGTATGATGGGAAATTGCATCCTTTATGTAATACACTAACAGACGATAACTAGTGAAGTTTTTATTTATTTAATATATATCATGCACGGCAGGCACCCTTAACATATTGTTTGATATTTACCTTTCGTATTAATGTTTTCTTTGTTTGTTCCTTTTCTTTTCTCAATTCTTCAGGTGTTTGGTCTGAAAGAAAAAGTCATTTTTTGCTTTTACTGATTATAACAAAACTTGTTATTATATGTAGAACTAACATTAGCTAACATGTTTTTATGTCAATATCAGAACACCAATGAACTACAAGAAATTCTAGAATAAAGTTTGTATAATACACTTTTCTAACTTACAATTAATTCAACTTGTTCTTTTACAAGTTATACCTTTTACAATAACTAATAAAATTTTTAAAACGTACGACATTTCGATCACTGGTGCAATCGTTCTCAAGCACACAAGTTTTTAACTGTAAAGAAGGTTTTAGTACTTAAATCAACAATCTACTCACAATGTATTTAAACTTTAGAATTAATAGTGGTTACTTATACATGTGCATATTAATCCGTGTGAATTGACATATTATTCATTTACAGATGAACAGAAAAACAAAAAAAAAGTAAATAAATATGACAGTGTTGTGTGAAATATTTGTATAAGATTAGGAATGTCTTAGGAAATAGCATCCAAAGACATAGAAATGTGCCTGGGGATTTGTAAATTGTGAAATTGTTTGATTTTATTATTAAGGCTTCTCAGATTTTTCTTCTGTTAATGTCAGGTTCCTGTTTTAGTATGGTGACAAAAAACTGTGGTTTGTTTGGTTCAAATGTTCATGGATTTAGGAAGGGGTTTTTTGGTGTTCTTTTAACCTGCTGTTCAAAGAGTTCTGTCCTGTTTCTTCTATATTAAAGCCTGGGCAGTTGTTACATACTATTTTGTATATGTTTTCTGATGGGGTGGGTTTGTACTATAATTTTCTTAATATGTATTTAATTTTCATTCCAGGGGTGAAAATGAATCTAGCCATTATGTTAAGATTGTATTTATGTGCTAGACTTTTCCAAATTTCTGATAGAGGTATGCTACTATTTTCTATATATGGGATAGTGTGAGTGATTAGGTTTCCTTTGTTTTGTAGTGTGTTTTTTAATTTGTTTGTTCATTAAATGTGTTTTGTCTGTACTTTTTTAATTCATTAATTACTAGTTTTGACTTAATTAGCTTGTTTATCTATTGATAAAACAGCAGTATTCTATATTACTAGCTGAATAAGAGAAATGATGTAATAGATGTCCAGAATTAGAACTGAAGTTTTAAAGCATGTACTTGTTAGAGTATGTATACATAACATCCAAATTTCATTAATAGAGTAAAAATAACATGATACATACATTTTAGAATGTTCCTCTGCTCAAGTTCTTCAGGAGAAGGTCTTAAACTCAGTCGTCTGTCAGACAAGAGACAAAGTGAACTCAATTAACTCTCTCAACACAGGCTTGATCAATTGGACTGACCACATGACCTCGTTGTATTCGTTTATAAAGTCTTTATAGACTTAAAACTTCTAACTTTCAATATAGTGTATACATTTTCACAAAATTTGGCAGTCTTTCAGTTAACATTACAAGTCTTTCACATTCAAAAAGTCATATTTCTTAGTGAAGTATTTTTAATAAACTAAAATAAAGATTTGTCCAAGAATATATTGAGTATTTGTTTTGAATAGTCCGTGTGCAAAGTGATTTTCATGCCAAGATTAAAAATATTTTTCTTCATCTCAAAAATCTCAAATTTCATTGTGTAATCTCTAAAACCTCCTAAACACATTTCAAATGTTTGTTTTCAATAAAACTTTATATTTTATCTGTTATTTTCTCCACCCTAACTCAATTTGACTGACCTTGTACCCCCCTCAAATCGAAATAAATCCAAATTTTTTCTTTCTAGAATGACTTCCAACATAAAGTAAAACTACATTCGTTTTTCCTAAGTAGCTTTAAATTCATAACATTATAAATCTATTTATAAGTAAATTTAATTATTTTGTTGCCCTTTGAATGTGTCTAATTACTATCCGTGCCATTGTAAGTCAGTTGTGGAATGTGCTGCTCATGTTATGCTATCAAATTACATTACGAGCTGAGCCGCTCGCATGCATGCCTTATGAAACATTTATATTATATTATCATTATTTATTTTACCTAATCTAATCTTAATTAAATTAAAAAATACCTATTTTTATATTTTAATTTATTTTATAATAATAAATAGAGAATAAACATGAAAAACAAGAAATAAAGTACTTACCCAATCTTCTTTTTTATTGCTGTCAATCATCAATGACACTTAACCCTACTTTTATTTTATTTTTTATATACTAATGGTAGTAATGCATTAAATATTTTTTATTTAATTAAATAATGCATCCAAGAACACAGAATAATAACATGCAAAAAGCAGAGAATTTCCCCTAACTCTCAAAATTCTTGTGGCTTTCTAACTATGCGACAAGAGCCAATACAAATTCATCCAAGCTAGTCATTAAGCTTTGCCACAGGAACAGAGCTTGCACTCCAAGTGAAAGTGACGATTATGTGTTCAAAACACAAAGTTATACAATACATCATTTGATAGATGAAAACCTCGACTTTTTATTGGTTATAGGTAATATATAATTAAACGTAAGAGAGAGGATGAGACAGGTGGGTGTGACAGGAGGGGTCTGATTTCCTATTTGATAGCTCTGTAACCAAACAAAATTGAAGGCTTTAAAAATTATGGTTTGTCTGAGCAATGACAACTTTATAATGAGTAATTTATAATTAATTTCATACTTTTTTTAGAGGGGTGGTGGATAAAATAGAGAAAAGAAGATGCTTAGAGAAAACATGTCATGTGTGTCACACTTGGGGAAATTCAGAATTTTTTAAAATATTGACTTGTAAAATTAAGAACTTATAACTTATGTACTATATTATATACTAATTGGTATAGCATAAACAAAAAGTAGTTTAATAAAATTTTGAATGTAAGACACCAAACCCTCGTGTCATGAGCAGTAAAGGATACACGTGGTGATAGGGTTAAATACTTAACGTTTTTTTTTGTTTTGTTTTTATGTTCAAAAGTTAACTAGTCTTAATAATTATGCTGTCAAGCCATATATCTGAAAAACAAAATACTGTAGCATTTGTCTTGCATTAAGCTGGCTTCAATGTTTAGTGGTTTGTAACAAAAAAGTTACTTTTGAAACAGGTTTCCATTGTGCAAGTCATCCTAATGAAAAGTATATATAGTGCAAAATATCCAATACATTACGAAAAACCCGTGCTTGTAAAAACTGATATAGAACTGATATGATAAGCATATACAATACAAAATATCCAGTAAACATATGTATACACTGTGAAAAAACGTTTTAAAAACAACACGTTTTGGACCACATGTCTGGTATTCAGTGGCTACAACACAAACTCAAGTTAAAATCAATATAATCAACTGTGGTGTGACAAAACAAAACAAACGTTCTGGCTGATATACAGTCTTTGTGCTGAGTGCCACACAATCTACATCATTCATAAAAACAATAATCTGTGTTGTTACAAGACACACTAAACTTCCATTACACCAATCAGCCTCTTGTTTTCCAGCTTTTTAAACTACTTTTACAATATTTTATTGCACAACTTACTGTTTTGTTAACTTACCGTATAAGGTTATTTCCCACAGCATCCCAGCTTTGCTGTTTTTCTTTTTTGGTCTGCAATTGAAGGATGTTTTTGTCAATAAGTTCCTGTCTGTTAGGTCGCTGAGCTAATTTCAATGCTAGAGAATCTTTCCTAGCAATTTTAGCAGCTAACCGGGCTGTCAAGACACAAACACAAAAAACAGTTACATATACAAACCTAATATATCTAGTGACATCAACACAAATTTACAACAAACACTACATCAGAAGATATTTATTAAGCAAGTTTTATATTTGTAATGCATTTCTAGCACCTGAAAAAAATATATGGAAAAAGTCTTTTGTTCAAAAATATCTCAGATTAACCAAAACATTTTGCTCTAAGCAAGAAAATATAGAACAAGCAGGATTTTACTTTAATACTAAAATGGTAACAAGATACATCCTTTATCACTCTCCATTACTGGTGTCAAACCATAAAGATGCTGTTGTAATGAATAATTAGTATATCACTGATGAACAATGTATCATATTTGCTTTAAATACAAAGAAAAGCAAGTACAATTAAAATTCATCGATCACTGTTTACAAAAAAAAGTCGTATACGTATTATGGCAAGATGCTGTTTTGTAAATCTTATGAGTCAAACAGTACATGCACTCAACCAGTACCCTTAGATACTCTCATTAATGAAACTATAACTTAAATAATGAATTGAAAAAAAAACAAAAAAAAGCCACCAATCATTGAACAATTTTTTATAGTGTCTTCTACTCATTTCTGTTCTCTTGGATGTGTCTTATAGTACCTCATATGAATGAATCTATTCAACACAGCTTTAGTTACCTCGTTCATCTTCTCCATAATAATCCCTCCAGTTAATTGGTCCATCATCAGAATCGTCACTCGAACTGTCGTAATCTACTTGATTACTGACTGTGATGGCTGGTAAGGGTTTGTTCTCTTTGTTATCATGAAGATGAGAAGAGGTGACTGCTGTGTAGTCAGGAGTAGCTTTGTTTCTACAGAAGAGGAGGTTGTGGAACTTAACAACACTTAGCTTTTGACAAAGACAAACTGTAACAGGTAATAAATGAATCACTTACTCAACTGTGAACTAGAATATAATTTGAAACACTGTCTTAACTTTCACAGAAATCAGAAGTTTAATATAACAAAACATTATATGCATGTATATAAGCAGAACATATTAACACTCATTAGTAATATTATATCACTGTAAGTCATTTTTTACTAACCCAACATGGTTTCCATTAAGAAGAATGTAACAAAATGTTAACTATACCTTGTTTGTTGTACACCACTGAAGGGGACTTTCTGCTCAAGCTTGGTAACAAGTGCAAGGCAGCATAATGAAATTATGTTATAAACTCCAATTACTCGAAACTGTTAGGTTAGTAAAGAATGATGCAACTCAATTTATTATCAGTCTTATCGTGATGTCATATTATGTGCATTGCTACTAAATGTCAGGTTCTGCCAGTTAAAACAGCCTACATCATAAAACAAAGCTGTATTATATTCTTGGCAATTATGTATAATATACACAGAAGTGTGTTATTAAAGTCTTGCAGTTGTTAATGACGAGGATCTCTCTATAATGCATATGCTTCTTGTATCATCTCTGTTGTAAATTATCTTGATATATGCATTCTTATGATCCCTGTTGTTTTCTTTTCAGGAGAATGGGTAGATGTGACATATATTCACTAAACTTAACTTTTCCATGTACTTTTCTATATAGCTAACAATGAGGAAAATAAAATAAACAACACAAGAGCACTGTTAAGCACAAATACTGTTCTAAATACAGTAAAAACTGTTAACACAAAATTAAAGTTTTAAACAAAAATTCTGATTGTATACAGGACATTTAGGCATGTTGACCTGTAATATATATATGAAGAAGAAACAAAATAATAATACTAATGATATACAATAAAAATATATGTATAAAAATGGAGCAAGTTCATCAAGGCACTGCTCTAATCAATACGGGTCATAGTCAAGGTGAAAAAATTTGTCAAACTTAGAAAATGTTTCTTTTGTTAATTTTGGGTAAAGCTACTTTATGACTATCTGCACTAATGGTTCCCAATTTAGAAGTGATAGACTAGAGAAAAGGAAGACCACCCACTAACCAACAAATATTGAGATTAACCACCACATTATAATGTCCCCACAGCTAGAATGGCAAGCATGTTTAGTGGCAGGGTTTGATAGAATGCTGGCAGAATGCAAGTCAAGTGCCTTGACCACTAGGTCATGCCAGGCCTTATGGCAAAAATATCATCAATATATTTATGACACAATAATGGTTTAAATTCATCAGGACCCTGCTTTAACTCTCTCAACATGAGGTTGGTCAATATGACTGACCTCATAACCACTTTGTACTCATTATAGTTTCCATACTATAACTTTTAATATAGTATGTGTATTATCACAAAATTTGCAGACTTTTAGTACACATTGAATTTCATTTGTACACAAAAAATCAGTCTTTTTTAATGAAGTATTTTTACTAAAGATTTGTCCATGAATATATCGAATCTTTTTTTCACTAGTCTGAGTGCAAAGTGAAATTTAAATAAAATTTTAAAACTTTTTTCATTTTTGTAATCTTCAACACCTAAATAAATATTAAACTTTTTTTTTTCAGTAAAACTTTGTATTTTATCTATTATTAACTCTACCCTAACAGTATATTTTATTATTCAGCCAATACACAAATCATCAAAGTATATTGAAAAGCTGTAAAATCTGAAATAAAAAGAGCAGCTGTGACCCTTTTTCTTTATTATTGGTCATGAAGTTTCAAAGTACTTCTCTTGAGAGTTTGAACTGCAAAACATTTCACATTTATTTTCTGTGTTTATTTTATTGTCAACATCTATAGTAAATTTCCTGAAAAGAAAGCAATAAATCACTGCTTGTGTCATTAGACTGTTTATGTTACATTGTAATATGATATTCTCGAGAGCAACAAAGCATGCACAAAGAAATAAGCTGACTTTGAATCTGTGAAAATGTTTATTATATGTTCAGAACTAATCCAATAAAAATCACAAGTGTTTGAATATTGATCATCTTTCTGGGATGTTTGGAATTTAGAGGTATACCATATAGGCATTCAAAGATATTATTTGTGTACATGATTATACAATCCACTTTCCCTTTGAGCAAATTTATTCATCAACCATTAAATACTATTTAATCCCAAATGCTTAAACTTTAGTTCTTTTTATTAAAACATAAAAGAAGAAATAAAAAAAAAGTTTGAAAACAAAGTGTTACAGTGTCATGAGATTTTGCACTCGTGCATCGTACGTGCTAAGCCTTATTTATTCTTCCAAGTGACAGGTGAGGAGATATAATTTTTCAGGCTTCAAATATATATTTTGGGAAACATTAATTGTCAACTTACTATATTAGTGCACACAAAACCCCAGAAATTTATCTGAGTTTCTAAACAAGCTATATATCACTTAAAAAAATCTCATATCTGTTCAGAGCAGCAATTTAGTCATTACAATTCAATAACTTTAGCAAAATTATGACTTCCTCCTTCAGGCCATATACTGTCAGATTTACATACACAGGAAACTACTCTTTCTCTTGGTAGTAACCACTTAGTCATAAGAAATAGGTGGAACTAGACAAAAGTTTTCCAAAGAATGTAGTAGTGGGAAGAGCCACTCTACTAGATTGGCTAAATATATTAACGTATCAGCAAATCAAAGTGGTGGGAAGGTTCCTATTTTATATTCTAGCTTGTCTTCAAGTTTCTAATTCGTTAACCACTGTATACATTGTACGGTAGACATAATAAAATATATACTAAGCAATAAGACAACAGGAGGTAGTATGTGACAAATAAAAATTGATATTTACCATTATTTCTTTATATTTCCTTTTCATTTAAGAAATTAATATATATATATTAAAATTTTGATTACAAACTGCACTTTGATGTCAATTCCAGTGACATAAGTAAAGTTATTTAAAAAATGTTGAAAATAACTCTCTTAAAGGTCATGACATGCACTCTTTAACCTGCCTGCAGCAAAGGGTTAACCAATACTAGTCATGATCACAGTGAAAGAGGTTTGCCAAACATGTTCTCCTCTCTTCTTTTCTTCATAAATAAATTTGAAACTTAAAAAGAGCTAAAACATGGAGGACTTATTTTTTATACTAAACTTTACACCCAAATTGATATTAAAATAAACACTGCATAAACTAAAAGAACTGAAATTAAGTCAAGAATTTCATGTGCAAAAACCTAAATATATATGTTGACTTGAAAACATCTGATCTGTTATAAGTCTAGACACTGTACAAACTATTTTGAACTTACAAAAGTGTATAACAGATGAAATATGTACAAGTTTGGTACAGCCAATTTTCTTAAAGAACTTATCAGCAAAACAAATTTGTGTTCCCACTGTTACAACCAACATTATACTTATCAAAGAGATTAAATATCTCAGCTTACTTAATTTGGGATGTTAAAATAAGCCTCAAACAGATCAACTTTTTCATGGTTTGATATGTAGTTTGGGTTGGTAAAAAGATTCATGTACATCAAACAGATCAATTTTCTCATGGCTTCTTATTTAGTTTGATATGTTAAAAGATATAAATATAGATATAGGAGAATAATTTAACATTTAAGTGGATCATAAATGAAATAACAGAATTATCTAGGAATACTTTCAATCATATTTTGAGTGTATGAAGATCTGGGAAATGAAAACATGACATTCATTAATTCTTTCACTGCAGATAGGTGCATTGTACAAAGTACATATCCATCAAAGTAACCATGATAATAACTTTTGATAATGTACATGTATCTTCACGAAATTTTGCAGATCATCAGTAAACAGCACAAGGCTTTTGTAAACAAAATATCAAGTTGTTTAACTCTTTCATCATGGGCTCGGTCCCTAGGAACAATCTCATAACCATTTTGTGCTTTATAGTTTTCATACTATAACTATCCAACATGCAAAGTAATTTTCATTTCAAATTTCACATGTGAAATGTTTATAATGTCCAGATAGTTATCACAAGTTTCTTAAGAAAAATCTTTATATTTTATCTGATATTTTCAGTAATGATTCTTTGTATGGGTTTGGTAGATTTGACCGTTCTTGTAACCACCATAAAAAATTAGAAAATAAATATAAATCATGCCTTTTCTTTCTAGAATGGCAACAAATTATAATACTAAAAAATAAATGTTTAAACTAAATAGCTTAAATCTCATAACATTGTACATTTATATATATTTATTATACTGACCTTTCAGCCATGCCTGGATAACAATACAGAAGTTACAATGATATGGCACACGTGCACTCATTTTACCATATCCAATAACTGACCTTTATTCTTTACAAAGTGACCTGTCTTGGCTGTGTTTTAGTAGACTAGTATTTTGTAGAATACAGTCACATTTCAATTATTAT